CCCCAAAAAAAAAAAACAAGACAACGATAGACTTTCTTTTGATAACGGGTAACCAAGAAATCCCGAGGGCAAATGGCGCACGGCTCGAAACTCATGGATTAGGGCACACCCCTCTACCCGTCTCCAGTTAAAATACCAGGCTTTTGTTTGCAACATAGTTCGAACCTATGCCGTGCGCCTAACTCACACATCCCGCGCTAAGCTCTTACTACTAGATCGAAGCCCTAGGGGCCAGAAGAAAGGCATATATAAGTCCTTCATTGACATTTGGAAAAAAAATGCATAACCTTCAGAGCTCTTATAAGCAACATGTTAGCATACAAACACTCTTACCATCAATGGATAAATTCTACATCATATTGTTCTAAGCTCTTAATCTCTTAAAATCTATGCAGATTTAGTGAAAATCTAGCACAATGGATTAAATAGACACAAAGGTGATGCCAATTAGTTGAGATTAAGGTTCAATCATCTAAGTAATTTTTTTTTTTTGATAACCGACAAATCCCTTAGGGCCAGTGGCGCACGGTTAGAAACTCGGTGGAAAATGGGCCCGCTCCACTACCCTCCACTTAAGTACCAAGCTTTTGTCTACGGCCGGGTACGCACCCGTGATGTGCACCTAACCCACACATCACAAGATGTACTCTTAAAAGTAGACCAAAGCCCAGGGGCTTGCTGGTATGTTTATTTTAGGTTTAATGTTTGCTAGAAATCTTTTAGTCTTGTTAAAGATTGTATCCTAGTAGAAAATGTAGAGACTTCTAGTGCTAGAGAGTCTAAATAGTTAAATATTGAATTGAAACGGGTCTAAATGGACCGACATAGATTGTGAGGATTTATATAGCCAACCCAAACCAGCTTGGGATTGAGAAGTAGTTGTTGCTGCTCATCCTCTTAAGCTTATAAACTTTCTGGCTGATCAAGATCCATTGGGCATAACAAAAGTCTTTCCATTCTAGAGAGTGACACTACCAGGCCAAGATGCATTATGAATTCCAACAAAGAGAGATGCTTAAAAGATGCTCACAACATGTAGAACTAAATTTCCACAAGGGAATCAATCATCCAATTTCAATATGAGTGCAATCAGAGTTGAATGCAAACAGAAAATCGCAGTTATATGACCTTCAGAAATGTATTTTCATTTCTTAGCTCAGTCACTGAAAAAACTTCTCTTTCCAAAGCAGCTTTCTCCTTCATGGATAAATCCAGTTGCCTTTGGAGCACAGCATTCTTGTTGACCTCATTGACTGCAGCCAACTTTGCTGCATCTAACTCAAGGCTTAAAGATTCTACAGTCTTGTGAAGTTTTGAAATTTCCACTAATTTAGCCTCATCATTAGATAGCTGCATCACAATGTTAAAAGGACATTTTGTTCAATTAGAGAGCAAAATATGGTACTGCATCAATAAATCATTCACATGTAAGTTAACAAATGGACTAGTACCCGCAATTTTTTTTCTAGTTGCAACCTCCAAGTGAGATCCTCCAACTGCTTTTCAAGCTTGGTTTTTGCTATACGAAGGGCACCAGCTTCATTAGCTTCCTGTACAAGGGAAAAACAAAGTGTCAACTCTTCAAAGAGAAATAATAGCTGAACTTTTGGAAAATTAGGGGAATAGAATTTCATCCGGAAAATCTGGCACATCAACTTTCATAATATCTGTGAGGCATGGCAACAATCCACAAGATTGAATCAAAATTGAAAAGATTCTATAGCGGCAACAGCCAACTAAAGCATATAAAAAGAATTATCTTGAATCTCTGACTAACATTCCATTCTGTAAACATTGTTCTTTTTTTCTTTTTAATATTGGTGGTGTTGGGGCCAACTTGCATACACCTCGACTAATTTCACTGGTACCTGCTACCTCCCACCAGCACAGGTACCGGGTAACTATATCCACTTAAGCATAGACGGATGGGAAGAAATAACCGATGGAATTTAAACCTGAGACCTCATGGTTCTCCGCCCACTTCATTGCCTGCTAGGCTACAGAGTAGCCTATGAGTTCTCTGTAAAATCTATCATCTCTTTTTTGATGGGGGCAGACAAATATATAGAATCTCAAGCACAACCAGCAAAAGCAAGAGCATCAATTTCGCAAATTTACAGTAAACAAAAACAAGATACAAACTGTAATATATTTACGCAAAAATGTACATTTGTTTTCATGGGGAGCCTAGATTTAGCATAAATGTAATGATATTAAATAAAATTACGCAACAAAATAAAGCAGATCTGAAAATGAAAACTACAGTACTGATATAAATGTGAACAGTAATAGATCCCAGCCATGCATAAAAAGGGAACAAATGGCAGTGTTTCTAACTTGGCTGCTAAAGCATAGTGTTTATCACTTACCCCTGACTCTAAGAACTTTGTAACTCGCATCTAATTTCTAAATCACTAGAAATGTGCGTACTAAAAGGCTATGGCTACACATATTCTGGTATTTTTCGTATGACTTATGCAAGCACAAAGTTGGGCAACTTACTCTGGGCTTCAAAATTTCATGAACAGACTAAATGACATGGTCACTAATAAAGGCAGGCTAATCTTTGTCAAGTCTTTGTATTACAGCATCGCATCTTCAGCAGATGCAACCATAAGCTTCTTTTGTCTAAAAGCAGCACACAGTCAGCTAGAGCAATAACTTATTCCGTGAAAATATTGTACCATCCAGCTACAACATTTCTCATCCTTCCTAACTACTTTTATCACAATTTTGGTCACTCATAAATATGAGGATATCTCCATCAAATGAAGAAATTTCAAGCAGAGCTTGTCAGTAAATACCAAACTAGACACTGAAAACAGAGGTACCATCCTTCTTACCTGTTTGAGCTTTCTGAACTCTCTTCTTGCCATTTTTCGCCTCCAAAGACATTGTATAGAAATAATATTGGACTGCCGATGACGAAACGCTGATCGAAACTTGCACATTCTCCAATGTGCCTATGCAGTAGCAGAAAGAATATCGAACATTAGCTTAGAACAATTCCCATTTTCCTTTCTTCTTTTTCTTGTTGGGGTGGGGTGGGGTGGGGGTGGGGGTCCAAACACACAACAACCACAACTTTTCATCTCATCTAAATAGTTCTTGTTTAATTTAAAAACTCAATTTTATAAAATGTAAAAGCCGCACAGGGTGGGAAAGGGAATATATATTCACCTGAATGATAGTAGCAGCCTTATTCTCCTTCCTGTATAAGAACTTCTGTCGAGCAGCAAAACCACGAACGCAAGACTGTATCAGTAGAGAAGCAGCATAAAGTTGCACATAAGCATTCCTCAAGATCCACTTCCGCATGTATTTTTGGATTATGATCGCAGCCGATGCTTCCTGCAGTGCAGCATATAAATTACGAGCAAGATAACCTGCAAAAGTCGACAATGCTTTCAAGCCTCATTTACTGCCAAGACCAAAATAAAAAAGCTGATGCAGGAAAAGCAGCCTGACATTAGCGTTAATTAATTAAAACACATAAAACGGACAAATACAAACAAGTAAGGAAATGCACACAAGTCAGATCACATACTGTTACAGCCAGACTGGAGATATTTTTTCCAGATATGATAAGTTGGATATATTGTTTTTTCAGAAATAATTACTAGCAAGAGTTGTATATTAGACCAACAATTACAAAAACTCACGATGCAAAGCAAAAACATGACATCTATTATTTTGTAAATAAAGCTGCTTCCATTAAATATATGAGAGCACATCACTTAAATCTTTATCCAGGAGGAAATATGCCATTAATTGTTGCATATGTGGCTTTGTTTTACTCTATGATCATAAGGATACCGTCAGTTTCCATCTTAACAAACTGTTCAATCCTAGAAATCTGCCTGAGAGAAAAGACCCCTGCAGCCTAATTATATCACCTAGGAAATTGACCCTTGTTACAAACCCAGTGTAGTCCCACAAGGGGGGTCTGGGGAGGGTAGAGTGTACGCAGACCTTACTTTGCCTTTAAAAAGGCAGAGAGGCCTGAACAAAATGAAATTGACTGGTTTAACAGCCTAATTAAATTTCTGCGAGAACAAATTGAATATTTGAATTTCCTGCTTCTAATTTTTCAGTTATACTGGCATCAAACAAAATCTTTATGATTTACACTGCATTTTATTATTTATTGGTCCCATTAATGAAAAGCAGTTAAACCAGAAACGTTAGGAGAATCCTAAGAGGTGGCAAAGCCTAACCACAAATCAAACTAGATGAATATCAAACTCATCATAAAAACATCAAAGGTTCCTTCTAAACAAAGTTTTGTTCCCCAACAAAACAAGAACCAAAAAGTAGTGGATAAGGGGAACCAAAACCACAACTTATTTCTACTAGGCTAGAAACAAACAGTATATTACATTGTATTTCATCAAAAATAATAAATTTAAACTAGGAATAGGCAGAAAGTAACATCATTCCCTTCTCATCTAAAGATTCACGCAAAAAGGGATAACCAAAGCAAACTATTGCGGTAGTAATAAGCACATGAATATCATTTTGTGGAGAGCAGACAGTTATGCACTATTCTGGACGAAGTATAGTTTAGCAGCAAGACATTATACTGAGAGAAAGGACCTCTGCAGCAAGACTGTAGACGAATTGCAGCCAATCGGTTTGAGATGAAGTCCTTGCGTGCAAGAAATGTACGTAGCCGACTTTGTATTTGCTTCGCAGAAGAGTCCAAAATCTCAGCACGACGTGAGTCTAAAACACCAATCTGGCCAGCCCTAAGGAATACTTTTGTCTTTCCCAACTGCAGAAATGAGAACGACAACATTACTTCAAGAAACTCACAGCATGAATTAACAAACTTAAAATTTGCAATTGCTAGAGCATCAAACTTCAAAAAGTTAGTGCAAAAGCTTATTACAGCAACCTGATAATTCCCGAGCTTGAGTTTCTGCAATATTTTCTCTGTGATGGTTTTTTCATCATTACTGGACGCATAGGAAAAAAGCAAATTAAAGATCAAACAAAGTGGACTAAGATACAAAATTTACATCCAGTGCAGGAAGGGACCAAAACAACATTGTTGTTTAATAATGAAGGATATTGTAACTAAAACATTCAGCTAACATTCTCCTGCATGCTTTTAGTTTTACTTTTAAGAAAAAAACATAATCCAGCATAATCACAACAATGAAATATTTCCTTCTTTTAACAGAAGCGATTAAGACGAATATATAATGCCACCTCTATAGATCTTCAAAAATCGAGGCTATCACACCAAAACATCTTGCCGGAAAGGGCTGAAAGAGTAGTTCTCTAAATAAACCCGAAGGATGACAGCCACATCTCATTACCAAAAAGGAAAGCTCTAGATATTGATAAGACTGTAGAATCAGTTATACATTGATCGCATATAGACATATAACAATGTTTTGGGTAGCCATATGCTGCAAATACAGAAGATGGTAAGACTAATCTCATCATCCAACTTTATTTTTCCAAACTCTAATATTACCTATCTTGCTCGGACACTCTGAAAATGTCGATGCGTGCATGTCGGATCTTCCAAAAGTAGTTCGTTTTTGGAGGATGCGACACGGGTGCGGCAGCTGATTTAAAGACCCCACGCAACATAGAATGTTACCCCGGTTACTATTAATCAAATCACTCTCATGCCTTATACCAGTCTTTAAAAGAATCCAAGCAGGGTCCATTCTGTTGACCTAAGTTGCTCCGATACAGCAATTTAGGTGCAGCACCCGTGTCGACATGACACTAATATGGGCGTGGGTATAGGATTTATGCCGGATCTGGTCAAATAATTTTGGATACTTCAACCACAACGGAAGGAAAAGTTCGAGACAAGATATAATTTGATTCCCAAAATCAGAAAACTAGGGTAAATTTGAAGAAAATAGCATACCTTATCTAGGAAATCAATCATTTACTTATCTACAACTTGAGAAAGAAATCCACACTTTACAAGCTATACATAAGTAGCCCGAAACTTTTTTCAAAATTTAGAGATATTTTTAGATTTTAATTTATTTTTGAATTCAGATCCCCGTACCCGTATCCGTACTAGGATCTGTATCCCAAATTTTAGAATTTACATTTCGAAGGATCCGACTTCTAGATCCGCAGCTGTGTCCGAGCAGCTTAGCTATTAACAGAAAGTAGCAAATATTTTTATTTTGGTTAAATGAAACTTCAAAAGATAATATATTAGGTAAATCATAACACCAAAGTGTATTTTACTAGTTAAATGAGTTTGAATTCTTCAGATACATGTAAAGAATAACACTGAAATTTTAGGACGTATAAAAATAAACAGAGGCAGACATGATTTGGCACTAAGGGAATACTAATCATAAAAAAGTTAACCTGCCAAAGCAGAGAATTTCAATTGTTTGACTTGACAAGGATTGTCTACCTTCCCAGGTTAGAGGTAAAATCTGTGTACACACTAACCTCCCCAGACTCCACTTGTGAGATTACACTCAGTTTGTTGTTGTTTGTTGTTGTTGACTGGACAAGTATTGTAGGACACAACTTCATAACAGAAGCAACTAGGGTTCAGTAGAGCAGGGGACAAAGCCAGTACCCTATTGGCCTATACCTAGATAAGTTCATCACCTATATAGTCATCCTAAACAGCAGCAGAAAAGGATCGAATGCACGCACTCAGCTAACACAAGCTCTACACAAAATGCAGAGTGAGTCGCTGACATATTAATCCAAGCATCATCAGCTACCTACTTCCACTTTGTACCTGGGCAAGTATGCCTTTTCTTCATTTTTGGTTGGGCTATGCCAGATAAACCAAACTCAAAAAAGTTCAGCTTCCCTTTCATCTTTCAGATGATTCAGAACAGCACTGTTAATCTTAAAGCTATATTACTTAGTGTTTACTTTAATTCTGCTGTTAAAAAAATTGTAAGAGAATTTTGATATTAAGCACTTTCAGGTATATTCAAATGATTTCAGCCCATGAAACTTCTTAATCTTAAACTTTTAAGAGCAAGCCGCACAGAAATTCCTTCCTGCATAAGCTGGTCATTGCAAATCACACTTTGGATGAACAATTGTCATTTTAATCTGAATTTTAACATTTTCACAGATCTAACTAGCAAAAACATTATGTTGGTAGCTCTGCTAAACCAACCTATGGATTATATGCATGGAAATGTTTGCTGGTCATGTCGGATGCTTCCAAGCATCCCATTACAAATCCAATGCAAGAGAACAGAAAATAAAAAAACAAAAGGGTCAAATAATTTCACCAAAAAGAGTTATAATAGTCAGGACAAGATGCAAACCCACCTTCCATCCAACATGTCTAAAACAATCAGTCCAAATCGATCTATAAATTCATGGTAAGTTCTGCGTGTGGGATAACCTGCCAAACTTATGCGCACAGCCTCCAGAACACCCTGCATTGTATCAAATTATTGCTAAATGAGAACACAGCACCAAGAGAATGCACATGAATATCCTTTTTATTATCAAATGGTAAAGGAAAAAAGGAATTTGGAGCCAAAAGGATGCAGGAAAAAGCATCAGTATCACAAAGTTCAACACATCACTGTGCAACCCAATGGAAGAAGCAAAACCGATTTGAGAATTCAATAACACAAAGAGATCCCTGATTCACTCTATCGCACTCTAGAGCAAAGCAAATGAAGGTGTAATTAGAAAGAAGAGAAAACAAAAGCAAATTGCACTTATAATCAACAGTTTAAGAATTGAAATGAGTCAAATGATAGAAGATAACCAAACCGGAAAAAGATCAAGAAAATACTAAAAGAAGAACCCTTGTAAAAAGAAAACAAGCAGCGAAGTGACAAAAAACAACCCACCTGAGAGATATCATTCCAAAATAGGATAAGAGAATAATAGGCGAATCTTGAAGAACAATGAAAGAAAATTATGCATGTGAAGTAAATATAGCAGGCATGAAACAAGACTAGCCTTGGATGCCATACATTCCACTATATACCATATGCAAGAAACCAAGGTTAACAAGCATGAAGCAACTACATTGAAAAATCAAAAAGTCACATCTTATCAGTAATATGACTGAAGAGCCAAAACACTGACATATGGCAATAAATAAATTATATCAACTGACCCCACAACGCAGTTGGTGCAGGATGCTGAGATTTTCAAATTTTTGAGGCCGATTCAGAGAATTTGGCTTCACACAACGAACATAGTGCGGTTCAGTTGAGCTGAGTGTCTCCATGAGAGCTTGAAGTTGTTGCTACAGAAAGAAGATGTGAAGGACAACATAAAACAACATTATCTAATAAATATATAATATATATCTAATCAAACTTTTGCAGCAACTGCTCTTTAAGGTGGTACTCACGCACAACTTAGGAGAAACCTTGACACATAATCATTTAGTCTTTGACTTTAAGCAAGAGATGAATACATATCAATGCACCAGAAAGTAATGCACATCGCAAGGCCAAAACCAAAAGAATTGTGGAAAACAAAGTTCAAACCCTAGATTTTTTTAAATTAAGCAGAGTATGCACTGAACATTACAACTAAATGCATGTGTTCTCAACTTCTCATATATAATACAAAACTGAAATAAATACCACTTTCTGCAGATGTTTACAACAATACAAGCATTTACAAGATGTATACCCCCAGACACGTACACTAACATAGCATTCTTATCAAACATTACAAGGAGTCAACACAATGTTCATATTACTCTGCTTTAGCAACACATGCTCAATTTGTTTCAGCTCTCCTTAATCCTAAAAGGTTTAAATACGACTTCCCTGAAACATTTGACTGACCAGAAATTTACAGAAACACCATCGACCATCCGACCTATCACTATAATTTTACTCTCAGTTTTAAATAAACAGAGATACTTGACACCAGAGTGTATCAACCATGTTGGGGTAGAAATTGTGACATATTTAGGCTAATAACATGTCCAACGCATGCATCTATGCAAGAAATTGATTCGTGTTAGTTCCACCAAATGATGACAAGAAAATTTGTAAACTTAGCTTGTGATGTTAAATGCTCTGTGGCAGTAAACAGTGCCGCATTAGAGTAAGCTTCATACCTTAAACCGAGAAGCTACTGAAGAGAACTTGTATGATGACCTAGACGATTCTTCTCCAAGGAATGGAAAGAGACCGGCAATAAAAGGACACTTCGAAGAAGATAACAGATTACGGTGTTCTACCACGACATAATCACGATTTTTATCTAAGAACGTTTCTGTCTTATATGTGACCTACAAAATAAGAACAAAAACATGAGTAAAAATAGCAATCATTCTCTTCATGAACATAAACTGAGCTTTCAAATTCCTATTAGTCTGACATGCCTTGCCAGCATAATGGGAGATGGTAAAATCTGTTTCATAAAATTTCTCCTTCTCTAATCGTGGATGCCCCCGAAAATTCTGGAACAACTTATTTGAGAAAGTTTGATGCGTTGACTTTGGGAACATGCTGCAATGGTGAATACATAAAGATAAGGAGATGTTACACCCAAAATTCCTAAAAGAGAATAAATTGAACAAATCACATCACATATTTTATACCAAGCTTCATCCAGAAGAGCAATTACCCCAATAGGCTTCTGCAAAACACATTTGACATTAAGTCAAAACAAAACTCCAGTTTCAAAGTAGAAAGCGAAAAGTGCAAAAACCCAAAATATGAGAAGTGCAAAAATGCGACTAGGTCCAGGGGACTTGAAGTTCAAAGCTTGAAGTGCAACATACAATTTATGAAAAATTAGAAACTACGGAACACGTGAGTTTAGTACTATAATAATCAAATTGCAATTATAAAAATATAATAATGCTGTCATTAATCCAACTTCTCAAAGTTGAGATTCAATGTACAGACTAGTTCTCATTGAGATCATTTAGAACATCATTATTTGAACTTGCCTACACTTCGCTAAAGAACATGGCTTTTCCCATGGAGCGTTAACCCCTTGCTTTTTGCGCCATCACTGGAAGTGACGAAGTGATGGCTCTTAATAACACTGGATAGAAGAAAAATCAAAATGAAATAAACCACAAAAGCTTCCAACGGTGAATCAATTTACATCTCCAATAACAACCTTTGATGCATCTGGATTAACTAATAGTTAAGAACTGACAGCTCTGGCCAACAACAAAAGCATGGTGGTAGCTATATATAAGGTCTCCGGAATCAAGCATAAACTAAGAAAGTTGCACTAGTGGAGAAGACACGCTTTCAGAAGTAAATTATGCCCTTTTGCAAGTAAATTATACCCATACATCAGTTAGAAATTGATCGTAGTGAACCTTCAGGTTAATAAATACCTGTGGTTCTGGCAAGCTACAATGTCTAAAGTGCACAGCATGCCAAATGCCCAATGAAATATTATGAGAGATCCGAACACAAAGTATCATGATTGTATCCTCTTCAGAAATCTTATTTAGCTTACAATTTTCAGTGAATGATAAAACAAATATACACCATGATATTCAAGTAAGCACAAATTCATCACAAAACCAAGAAATTTAGCATATCCAAGTTTGCAATCTTTTCCTACATGAAATATGTGCTATAGAACATTTAATGTGTAATATCAGCTGACAACTTCATACAGATATTCTTTTGTCCTTGCAGTAAGGTTGCTCCTTAAGCTTACGCAAATCAATTTGAAGATCCCAACCACATTGCAAACTTTGTTTCATTCATTGCATCACCTAATTAACAGTCAAGTCAACTGTATAGGTACGATGTAAAATAGATTATGAGGAGAATAGCGTGGAACCTTCTCTATCAGATCCAAAACATCTTGGTTGTCTATAAATTCAATGTAACTCCAATTGATTTCCTCTTTCTGATATTCTTCTTGCTCCATCTTGAATACATGCTAGAGATTTAACAGGACCGAAATAAATAAGTAAACGGTGAAAGAAGAAAAGGTGAAATCAAAAGGCCATAATAGCAATTAAGATTCATAAAATCTTTAGTTCTTTTATTAGAAGGGTAATTTATCCTAGAGCAGTACAACTTACCTCATTAAAATGTTGCTGAAGCTTTTCATTTGCAAAATTGATGCAGAATTGCTCAAAGCTGTACAAGGGGTAGTACCGAGAAATCAATTATTGGATTGTTCAGGTACCAATTTCGAGTTATTGCAATGTTTGGAAACCAAGATCCTTCTCGAAAATGAAGCTAAGAGAAGCATCCCAGAAATTCCAAGCAAAAGATATTAACAAACCATAGGAATATAAAAAATTGAGTTTCAAACATTAACATGAATTGCCTATGAGATGCAGTTGATAACAGCAAGAAAATCAGAATATTATTGCTAACTGAGTTGGCAAGATGGCAGAGCAGAAACTTGCGTCAGCGTAGCCATAGGGTAACTGAATATCTTCACCAAGTCCAAGTTTATGAAGTCAGCTGGATACAATGTGTTTCAAAGTTCATATAGCAAACCAGGGTCAGGAAGTGCATACAGTGTTCATATGATATTTGATACGGGTGTCAAAAATAGAATTGGTGTTGCTGTTTGATATCTTACAGCAGAGAAGATTGGGTGATGAGTGTCGTTTGTAGAGGATCATATTATGTTGTAGATGCTCTACTTCTTCGTATACTGTTTGTATACGGGGGATTATCCCATTCTTAACAAAATTACTTTATCAAAAGAAAAAATCTTACAACAGTAAGAACAGTGTCTGGAGTTGGAACAACTGTCATAGAGCATTGCCCAAACATATCTTCTTCTGTGATAAAGAAGGCTCTATTAATGAGAAGGTAGAAAACAATTCTATTTCAGTGATTCAGTCCTCGGTCTCCCTTCAACAATTCCATACTTTTCCACTACCACCTCCCTCCATAGAGCATGCTACTCAATCCTGAATCTCCATAACTATTTCCCTAATAAGGCCTTGTCGAAAACTTGGAGATATTTCAACCCCTGACTTCTTTGGAGATGTAACAAACTCATAGCTAAGTGAAACTTCCTATCCTCGTTTGTTGAATCCAATAGAAAGTTCCTGTGATACCTCTCAAATTTACCTGACACTGGCCAGTGCATGAAGCAATGACATAAAGTATGTAAAGATGCTCGACAGGGATACTCAAGCCCACCATAACCACTCGTCTTGTTCATCACTCCTCAGCAAGGATAAAGCTCATCCTTAGTGAAAGAGAGGACAAATAGTAAGTCAAAGCTTCAACCTCCATGGCTCGAATTTCTGAGTTCCTTATTCCCAGGCTTCCCCCCTCTCAGCTTCAAAAATTCATAACACCATTTAGCCAAAATTCTCCTTTGGTTCCTTGATTCTTCAAGTAGGACCATGATTTTGTGGATTCTAAAAATACTGATAAAAAATCAAAAGCATTGATTTTTCACCAACAATTTTTCAAGTTAGTAAGGACACCAGAAAACCATTTTTTCCTCTTTTTTTGGGTCAATCAAACATTTAGTCCATAGAGTCTAAGATGAAGGGGCAGGACTTACCCATCTGGGTTTTAAGGCAAAATACAAAAATGTTCCTACTTTAAGCACATACTGCCTGCACATGATAGGCTAATATTTGTTTCAAACTCCTAGCTCGTGACAAGAACCAACTTAACAAACAGCCCACTATATTGTGGACCAAAACGGGAAGACAATAACCAAGGGCTAAAGCAATAAGCTATTTCCACAATAACTCCAAGACTTTCCCGTTTATGAACATCCAATAATTTCTCAACCTTTTGTTTCCAGTTTAGGCTAAAACTCCTTATATAAAACTAGATTAATTAAACAAATTTTTCATAGCCAACTGTCATACCACTCTAAAACATTATTAGTGAAATTTCAATAATTGCCAGCAACCATATACTTCTTAAGTTTCAATCAAGCTTTCAGTAAAGCATGAATAACATTAAAATAAAAGGCTTGTGAGCTCACATCTAAAATATAGACCATTGCTTTTAGGTGCTAAACATCACCCAAGCTCAACATAAGACTGCCTTTCATATTTCATTACATGTTTTTTCCCAAAATTAAGGCATGACCTTTTACCGGCTGGCAAAACCAGTAGGAGCATATGCCTACAATCTGGAGTTTTTAAATTCCTTTTTTTTCACCCAAATGAGTAATTTTAAGTTGAAGTTGCACAATTAAAGAAGGCTCAACTGGAAATTCCATTACAACTGCAGTAAAGAGGATGCAATGTCAAAAATTCAGACTTGAGCCAAAAATAATTGATCAACTGCTTCGGGGTGTCTATTATTTACAAATCTGATTCTAGAAGGACTTCCAATAACCTTTATTTTCCACATTTAAGTAAATATAGCAACCTATTATCTTCCTTATATTACATGATTTTTGAAAGAAAATAAAAGGCAAAAAAGATAACATGTAACTAACCTGTTCTGCTTAAAGCATTCAAATCCATATATATCCAAAACACCAATTTGTATCTGGGAATCAGGATCTTGCCCAACAGATCTATTAATCTTTTCAACTAACCTGAAAGCGATGGTACAATACTCTTACAGAAACAACTAATGTTAACAGAATATTGACTATTGGATACTGTAAACGAATTCTAGATTACCAACCAATCAAATAATTGGGCATAAACAGTCTTCGCTAACGTATCACGTCCTGCAACAGCAGCACTACAATCAAGAGCCTTAATGATGATGCCTTCGTGAGTTTGAATTGATCTTGTACAAAGTGTGGTCACTAACAGCTGGTCATCACACCTTTAAAAGGGAGTAATTGGGGATCAGTTGGACTGTGAAGACGCTAAGTAAAACAGGTAAATTACCACCCTAAATCCTTATAAAGCAAATATGACAGATCTTGAATTTTTTATTTTGTTTCAAATAATAAGGATACTGGGAAGTCTCCCAAGACAAGAAATATAAAGAAGGTAAACGATAAACAGAAGTCAGCAATACTTCAAGGCAATACAAATACCATTAAAGATTAAACCCAAAACACTGGTTACCTTTGCTTCTTTTGAGAGTTTTGAGTTTTATTTTACACGTAAACCTTACGCTACATTTTTTTACCAGAATTGACTAAAAATTTTATGTCAAGCAAAAGTTATAATAACAACCGTGAATTAGTCTTACCCTATATGACGACATGAAAACTGCTATCCTTTCCTGAATAATTTTTTTCTTCATGCCAAAATCAGGAAAATGCCAAGACAGAACATGAAAAGCAAGAAACAAATGAAGAACTATTGCAATAACTTTTGAAGATGAGATATTCATTATAAAGAATTGTGATCTACATATTACAGCAAGACATATAGAGTGTACAGCAAAAACTACGAAGTCCCCAATACAAATTGAAATTGTACGAACCAAAATAGGTAATAAACATATTCTAAGAGATTGAGAGCCCGAAAACTTAAGAGAGCCGACAGACCAGTATTTTCTACTTTTTTTTTGTAACACCCTGTAAAATTCGGCTTAGGTATGAATGAGTTAAAGGAGTAGTAAGGATATATTTTGAACATGTGAAGTCCTATCGGGATGATTATGGGTGAAAATAGTTGTTTCAAAATCAAGATGGAAAGTGAGGTGCATAAGATTTGACAAAATCGACTAAGTTTGCAGAAGGTCTGTCTTCCAACAGGGTTTAGTGAAAATGTGTAAGGAATTTGGGAAAATTCAAAGCATGAAAGTTGTAGGCCTTTGAAATAGCTTTCCAACAATATATTGTGGAGCCCAAACGGAGCTCTCTGTGCAAAAAGTTATGCCCGTTTTACAGAATGGTGCGTAACCACCGCGTTCGGCCACGTTTTACCACGACCGCGGTCGTGAGGCAGTGCTCCAGCTATTTACCGCGGTCAGGACCGCGGTCACGCCTACTGGGACGTGGTGGCCGACTTGGGAAGTCGTTTTTTTAGCCTTATTTCATCCCCACAGCCCCAAAACATAAAAACTTGCTCTACAAAGGAAAGCTCTCAAAAACCTAACTCCTTAAGGGTCCCTCCACCACCCAAGGTAAGTTTTA